AATCAAACCGTAAAATATTTCAACATGTAAACCCATTCTATGGACATTCATTTTTGGTCTTGGCCATTGTAGCTTTACAGTTCTCTGACTTGCCTGTTACAAGTAGTCGTGGTCGATGGGAACCTCCTCCAGGGCAAACACCTCTGCAGTCAGCTGGTCTCGCCATTTACAATAAACACTCCAATATTCCATAAAAAAAAATTAGAATTTTAATTTCATGGTGACTTTAAAACCCCTACAAGGTTAGATATTTTACAAATATTCAGTTATTGATCATGGTAATGTTGACACAAGGCACTTGCAATTACAAACAAATGTGACTTTGTAACTTTGACTTAGAAAAAATGTTTTGTTACTAAAAAAGTGTTGGACCCCTGGTATAAATGATTTCTGCACCCAATCATGACTGTTTTGTCTCTAAGGGGCTGTTTACACCTGGCCACTTCATGCGTTTTCTCAGATCGGATAGCTATCTGATTTATCAAAACGATTCCATTTACACCTGGTCACATATGTGTTTTTTAGTCTGGGTTTCCCCATGCTGCCTTCCCGCAGCGCGATTTTATTCATGCTGAAAGGCAGTATGGATTCCATGATCCAGATTTTCGCCTCATTTAGGGAACCAATCACAGAACGGGGAGGGAGCAGCAAGACGATGACGACCTCTATGCGACACACCGAAGCAGTTTGTTTATACCTATGGATCCAACATGGCAGCAGACGCGAAGTTACCTTTCAATGCAGCCTGGTCGTTTCACACATAGGTTTCACACCGCAAGCGTGAGCGGCACTTGCCGTCACTGCAGCTGCAGACGCGCGAGAGTATTCACACTGGAAGCGTTTGCACAGTGTCACAGCAGCGGCTCCAAAGCTATATAAGCAAGCAATTCTTTACAAAGACAACTATACATTTGTTTTTAGAAGCTGGTCATTTTATAACATTGATAGTCTTGAAAGTTTGTAATGTTGTGGTGTACAACATTCGCATATAAGTTAAATGTTAAAGGGATAGTTCGGCCAAAAATGATATTTAAAGGGCATATTGCAGGTTAGAGGACCCAACGAGTCAATGTATAGAAAAATAATGTAGGAACTAGATTTTCTTTAAAATATTCTTATAAATACGCTACATAAGCTTCTGGAGTCGTTTTTGTGAGAAAATTTTACTTCCGCGTCTGAAAATGGGTGTGGTGGGCGTGACGTAACGGGCGGGAGAGCGGTCGATTCAAACAACAGGAAAACAATGGATCGCAATGACATTTCGGACGCTGAGGAAATACTTACTTACAATTATGGACTACAGCCATACAATTATGAGCCTGCTATGCTGCCAAGAGAGTAGGGACAGGCCAGGATTAATGTCAGACAGAACGGTCAGAGACACATTGAGTTGTGGTGTGAGGAGAACCAGTGGAGAACAGGACAGGTGTCTTGGTGAGAGACGTGCTTATAGATACACGTTCGCTAACGATACACTGTGCTCACAATATTGTACAGATTATTACCATCGTATATCAGGCCAGCAGACATTAGTATGTTTAGGGTAGATGTATACTATTAAATGTATAAAAACTATACTTGAGTATATTTCTATTGTAAGTTACTAAAAACATACTCAAGTACATTTTTAAAACATATTTTTCATCTGGGTTATAACATAAACAGAAAATTAAAGATTTGAATATTTAATCAACCTAGTAATTTTGTTTTTCAATTACAAGTTGCCTCTATTTAGGGCATGACTACCTATATCACACTATTTGATGCCATTGGTACAGTATACGACGATCAATATTCTTGCTTCGGCATCCCATGTTAAACTCCATCATATCGCCGGGATGATAATCCTCCGATCTGAAGTGAACGCTACACACGATCTGAAGTGAAAGCTACACACGACCGCGTTTCTCGAAGCCGATGCGGAAGAGAAATCCCGTCTCTTCACCTGCACAAACCGCACCAGGCACGAAATATATACAGCAGTACCGTTTTTCTTGTGTGGGAAACCTGTGGACTCGATGTCCTGACAGGCCGGAGTTTTTGCAACCTCCACAAACACAATAATTTACCATGACGATGATAGATTGAAATACAAAAACTACCGAAAACACACTGACTCACGGCCGCTCTCACTGAATGCCAGCCTGCTCTGCACTGAGGCGAGGCTGAGGCTCCCTAGCGTGACGTAAAATGACGCGATGTTGAAAAAAAAGCCGTTTTTACGAGCAGTCCAAGAAACGCTCACTTTATCTACTAAATTAGTGCCCTTATGTCGTTTTAAAACATTTTAAATCCTGCATTACCTTTTCATATGGTATTTTCATACAAGGTTATATATTAATTTAGATTTTTTTTTTTACCTACAATATGCTCTTTAACACATGCATTACTCACCCTCAAGCCGTTCGAGATGCATATGTCAATCTTGTTTCAGACGAACACATTTTCAGTTATTTTAGAAAATGTCTTAGACCCTTCAGTGGATATAATGTGAAGCAATGGGGTCCACCTCCTTCAAGTCCCAAAATGTGCATACATCCTTCACAAAAGTAATCCATCCGGCTCCAGGGGGATAAACGAAGGCCTTCTGAGGGTAATCCGTGCGGTTTTGTCGTACAAATATACATATTTTAAACTTTATAAATGAAAATATCTGAGTTCCGGCAACGATCGACGCGCGTTCACGGATGGAAGTCGGCGTACGAGGTAGGACGTAGCGTAGGAACCGTCGTGACGTAGAACGAAGGCGCCAGCGCAGCCAGAGAGCAGAGCAAAACAACGTCTACGTCACGACGGTTCCTACGCTACGTCCTACCTCGTACGCCGACTTCCATCACCCGTGAACGCGCGTCGATCGTTGCCGGAAGTCAGATGTTTTCATTTATAAAGTTTTAAATATGTATATTTTTACGACAAAACGGCACGGATTACCCTCAGAAGGCCTTCGTTTATCCCCCTGGAGCCGGATGGAATACTTTTGTGAAGGATGTATGCACATTTTGGGACTTGAAGGAGGTGGACCTTTGCGCCACCTGGCGGTCATTTCGCGAGCGACTTTGAAATGCGACTGGTTTATTTTTATTGTATTGGTCTACTTTAAAAAATAAAACTTTATAAGACATTTATGGAAAAAGACTATTTTCTTTTCAAGATGTTTCCAACTGTAACTTTGAACCAATTCTGTAGAATGGCCCATATAGCATTTGACCAGGATTTGTTTCCAGGTATGACAAAAATGTGCTTTTGGCTTTCATTTATATTTTGATTGTTTGTATATATATATATATATATGTGTGTGTTTGTGTGTGTGTGTGTGTGTATATATATATATATATATACAAGAAAGAATGCAATGACAATATATATATATATATATATACATATTGTCCTTGCATTCTTTCTTGTGTGACACCCCTGAATGAAAGGCTCATTATTATGCAGGGTCACTGTCTGAGAACCACTTAATTATTCATGATAGGGGTTGGGCCGTTCCGCCCATCCGCATATTGCCTTGGCAAACAAAAAAATGTTTTTCACAATTTAAAACAATCTATTGTTTTATGTGAATGATTAGGAAGGATGATTTTCAGATCATTTTGAAGCAAAAACTCTAGGCGACAACGTCCATTAGTCAAAAATCTTGTGGACACATATTTAGTATGTTTTTTGTGTCCTTATTTCAAAAACTTTATTTTTTAGTTTTTTCAATAACCACGCATAAACAATATTCTCTCAAAAATACAAACTTGTACATACATGTTGCTCACACATTATGGTAGTCCTGTTTGTGCTAAATAGAGTTTAATTTCACCTGTGCCATTAATATGTTTATACGCAACTGAAAAAAACACAAATGTCAGAGCATGTCAAAACATCTCAAGGAGCCCAAAACACCTTGGACCCCAGAGGGTTAAGCGTCTACGACTGTACTGTCAGTGGGACACGCTGGCTTCCACATGTGAACCGGGCCCTGCAAACCTTGCTGAAACCTGGAGGAAAGGATAGACATCTGCAGAACCATGGCCAGTTCACAGCAGTTTATTACCACATGGAACATTTGACTGCATCATCCACCAATGCTGATATTGCTGAAAGATCAAGGAAGGTCTGTATTTAATTTCAAAATGATTTCATATTTGGGAGGCATTCAAAATAACTGATATTGGTGGTTAGTGGTTATTAATCGGTTATGTCTTCCAGGTCAAGAAGATGATGGAAGATGGAAGCTTTGTGGGTTTCTGTCACTTCTTGGCTGACTTGTTTGAGGCCATAAGCAAATTCAGCCTTCTTCTCCAAAGAAATTATATTATTTTGCCTCAGGTAATGTTGACATGTTAAGAAGAATAGTTTAAACTTATTAAAACAATGTTAAAAAAAAAAAAATATCAAGGAATATGTAGCGTTTACCTTTTATGTGTTTTTACAACTTAAATGTTTTACAGGCTGTGAATGGAATTGAGAATCTCCTTGCAACTATTGAGGCCATGTCAGTGAGATGCAAGCCGGGTGGTAGGCTGGCAGAATTACTGGCAGACCTTCAGGCCCAGAGAAGACAACAAGAGGGTGAGGGGGAGACACACCTTTTGTACAAGTATCAGGTGAGCAGTATTTTTTTAATTAGGTTTGAAGTTGATTTATTTTATTTTATATTTACTCATTTTTTATTCTTGTCTAAAATGTTGAATGTTGTGTGAACTCAGGGGATCATCGTCAAAGGTGAAGCTGCTGGGCTGGGAAAGGAAGGACTCTCCATGGCAAGCACACCTAAGCTGCAACAAGCAGTGAGAGCAACCATCGACTGCACTTTGGTTCATTTGAAGCAAAGATTCAGCAGTCTGCTTTGTAAGTGAAAGCACAGAATTATATATTTTAAAAGAAAAATATGTGAAAATAAGATAAACTATCATTATGACACATTCAACTTTCTCTTTCTCTCAACTGCGTCTTTCTATTCCTTGATAGATGAAGAGTCTACATCAGCATCAGCGAGGCAGTGAAGTCATTCAAGATATTCAGTCATGATTCCTGGCCAGAGCAACGAGAGCTGACAGACTATGGTGCAGAGGAGCTGGACTTCCTGCTAGACCACTTCAACTCTGTCTTTAACAAGGTTAGTGACTCTTTTTAAATTATCAAAGATATAAAAAGTATAACACAGAGCAACATTTCAAACATCTACTTTGATCCTTAACCTAGATTGTTTGGTCAGTTTTTCCTTTCACTCTTTTCAGAAATGGCTGTGATTCCAATCTGGCTAGAGAGGAGTATCAATCCATGAAGACATTCATCTTTAGGAACTACATGGACAAGTCTTACCATGCCTTATGGGAGATGATGGTAACAAAGTTGCCATTCTGCTCTGATTACAAGGTACCCCATTTTGATCACATCCTTGTTCATTTAATTGGTAATTATTACTTTTTGATTAAATAAAACCTACACTTATGATCCAATCTTTGTAGAACATCCTACATCTTGTGCACATCATGCTGGTCCTCCCAGTCTCCTCTTCTGTATGTGAAAGGGGATTTTCTGCTCAGAAGAGGATTAAATCTGATGTCAGGGGGTCCCTGCATATAGACACTGTGGAGGACTTGATTCGAATTAGCATGGAGGGACCTAGTTTACAAGAGTTTGATGCCAAGGAAGCTGTACAAACATGGTTCAGTCAGGGTAAAAGGTCTAGGAGGCCAAATTACAAGGGCTGGCCTTCTGAGCCTCCTAGTGGACCACAGGAGGATCTTCTCTAAGGGGGAGAGAGTAAAGGCAGGCACACGTTGTTTTGGCCTACTTGTTCTAGTGGAATGTTATTGGCCAGTGCCCCTAATGTTTACATACGTCAAGTATCGTTTGTAACTTGTTACTAGGCACTTTTTCTGAATGTATCTATGGTATATTTTTTATATATATATATTTGTACTGCCATGACAGCAATGGTGCTGTCGGTTTACCTTGTTGTTGCATCTATAAAAGTGCACAATAAAATGTGAATTTGAAACAGCACATTGTCATTTCTGCATCTAATATCAAAGTATTTACTAATAACACAGTGGAAATTAGTAGAAATGTGAATATTTTGGTTAGCATGTTGATTTACGGGGTGTGCCCCTAAATTTTCTGGTTGTGCCCCTAAAATTTTCAGTTAGGGGCCACTGTGCTCCTAGTGAAAAAAGTTAGTCTGGAGCCCTGTGTGATCACAACTAAATGAGAAGTGTCTTTGTAATTTATGTTCATGAATTTGTAGTGGTAGTTTTGAGTGCTTTTGACTAATCACTATTAACTATCAGACTCTTACCAGTGCTTTGACCTCTAGTTTAGATTTATTTTTCTTTCTGTTAATTATTCTCATCTTAAACAGGACAAACACACAGAAAAATTCCTGGTGAAGCGAATAATCCATGACACTATAATAAAGATTCAATTCAATTTCAATTCAATTTTATTTTCATTCATTATACAGATATACATACATGCATAACAACCAAAAAATGGTGTAGGCTGAATCCTATGCTTATTATGCCCACCTTTTGTACATAATTACTCAATTAGCGGCACTTTTCTCTCTGGATTTAACTTTTCAAAATAAACGTACATTTACATAAGAACATTTTACACATCTCAGACATTATTTCAATAGTTAACATATAACGTAAACAAATTAATCATATTGAGTTTAATAAATATTTATCACCTTGTTTTTAAAATTTTTTTTTAAATTACAGAGTGAATTACTCAATTTTAATACCTTGTCACAATTATTCCATAGGTTTACTCCTTTAACAGATATGCATCTATTTTTTTGTATTAGTTCTTGCTCTTACTTTTTTAAAGGGTCACTTCACCCATTTGCATTAAGGTTTGTATTGTTAGAAACCCAGTCATATATTATAATGATGGTGGAATTTTGCTTGTTTTTTTTCTGAGATGGGAGAAAAAAGGATTTAAGTGTTTTACTTCCGTCCTATCGTGACGTAAATATCGTCATTTTGCGTCACGATAGGACGGAAGATAAATTTCATTGCATATTAAGAAAACTACAGCCTTTAGCTCATTATTATTCAAGGGCGTGGGACCCACTCACCCCACCGGCCTATTACAGATCAGTGGGTGGGACTAAACCTGAAGAAACTAAACTATTAATCCGCCATCTGGCTTGGAAGACAGCAAGCTAAGCTAACAAGCGCTCAAGCAGTTAGATTTTTACCATAATGCCTGAATTTACGACACACGATATGGAAGACGAGGATTTTGAAAATCTTTTGCTCGAAACTGATGTTCGTGGCGATTTATACGAGCCACGATATAGCGAAGAGCAGCTGAGGCTGATGGAGGAACAAGAGGCGGCGGCGGCGGCAGCGGCCGCCGCAGGAGACCAGCCCGGCGCAGACGAGAAGCCCGGGCTTGCTCGCGCTGTAGCGAATTGGTGGTGCTCGTGCTGTAACTGTGCGCCTATGGACACCGAGCTAGAGTCTGTCTGCTGCAAAGAATCTCTAAAATGCCAATTCCTTCTAGAAGAAATGTCAGAGGCAGACACGGACATGGAGTTTTGTGCACACGGACGTTTGTGTTGTGATGTGAACCATCCAAGTGTCGCACCCCATATGTTCTGACTGGAACATCCAGGACAGGTATCATGCAATAATTCACCATATAGAAAGAAATACAAATGAGGAGTAGCTGCTAATTCGCTAATGAGTTTGCCAATGTAACGGGGTTCGTTGTTGTGGGAAGAATGAGACGGGAATCGGCGAACATTTAAACATTTTAATAGTAAAATAAACAAATACAAAACAAAAGTATAAGCCAGCAGCCCCTCAATGCTGGCCACACACAACAGAAACAAAACACACCATAAAATCAGGCCTGTTCCTCACTCGATCTGCCCTGTCGCTCCTCGTTTTATGCGTCCGCTCCTCGGTGAGAGACGCGAGAGAGACCAGTGCGTCTCACAGGTGTCGTTCATTATCACTCGCGCCGCTCTCACGTCCCTCGTCCTGCTCGCCACAGCCAACTAACTATACATTTTGTGTGAAATGAATTTCTAACTCTGTTGGCAGCTAACGTTAGCCCTGTAGAGTAGACGAAAGAGTGATTTCTCTGATGTTTGCGACTTTGCGCTGTTCTGGATTAGTGGGAGTGGCTTGCGGAGCTGTGCAACGTGGTGCATTCTGGGAGTTGTGGTCTTACACACAAATGCGCCCTAAAGTTATTTTCTGTCTTTTCTCGGTCAAGAGGGCACCAAATTCAAAATTTCTTTTACATTTCGACTACATATATGACCCACTTTCAATAAAGATTAATGTTGAAATGGGTGAAGTGCTCCTTTAAACATATACATTCGTCTTAGTTTATACTGACTTTCTCTAATTTCGAACAGCCTCTGAACACAATCCCACAATTCTTATAAACTTTATACATGGTCTGTGCAGTATAAAGGTCAACTAAATCAACAAATTTTAAAGCTTGTAAATTAATAAATTCATAATAGTCTGCCTGTTTTACAATCCTTATTGCTTTCTTTTGTAACATATATATTGAATTTGTATTAGTTTTATATGTATGACCCCACACCTCCACACAATAAGTAATGTATGGAACTATGAGTGAACAATACAATATATATAATTACTTTTCATTCAAAATATGTTTTATTCTATTTAATATTGCATTTAGACATTTTTGTTTTTACATTTATTTATGATTTCCAGCATAATTTATGATCTTATTTCAGGTCTATTTTTCAAATTATTTTAAAATGCTTGCAATAACAATTTTCTGCATATTCATTACCACAATTTATCACATCATCAAATACCATCACATCCACTATCTCAATTAATTACTATATAAATATATTAATGTTTAGATAAAATAAAAAAATATAATATAATATGTAAATGTCCCAATAACTTTGCTTGTTCAAATAATCTTTTCCTTACTTAAACTGTTATTAATAATCAATGAACATGATGTACTTCAATTATTAACATTTTATTCATTACAGATCCCCAAACTGGAGGCGTCAGTCTATTCAATGGACATTACTACCACTACAATCAACATCCGTGACAATGACTGTGAAGTCAAGACCTGCTGCCTGGCGGATGCAACTGGCATCATCTCACTTTCCTTGTGGGATGCACAAATAGACCTGGTCAATGTTGGCAGGTCTTATAGCTTCACTAATTTATCCACCGGGATCTATAATGACAACATTACACTCACCACAACGTGCACATCCACCATTACACCAATCCACAGAAAAATTGCTACACCTACCACTACTGATAACACCCAAATTCCTCCACCCACACTACACACATCAACAACAGATGTCACCGGTGCATCAATCAACATGAAGAAACAATGCCCCAAATGTCATACCGCCCAACATTCCTTGACAAAAGATGACAGTTTCCATCGATGCACCACGTGCAAGATATTGAGAAAAGGGACCAGTTACATTACTAAACGTAGTGGATTTCTTACGATTGAGCAACAAAACGAGGAAGTATCCTTAACCATAACAAAATTCACTGCTAACTAAATTTATCAACCAAGAAAACAACATAAATAGTATGGACAGTCAAGACATTGAAGAATACTTGATGTCCAACAGTCCACTGACACTCTCATTCACATACAATAATTACATTGTCGATTTGCACAAAACCAAACCAAGCACACCAGACATGTGCAACAGTGATGACGAACTGACTGCAGTTATAATCGACATCCCAAAAGAAAGCACTCAAGCACCCAACATCCCACAAGAAAACACTCAACATGCCAAAAGAAAGCACTCAAACACCCAACATCCCAAAAGAAAACACTCAACATGCCAAAAGAAAACACTCAAGCACCCAACATCCCACAAGAAAACACTCAAGCACCCAACATCCCACAAGAAAACACTCAACATGCCAAAAGAAAACACTCAAGCACCCAACATCCCACAAGAAAACACTCAAGCACCCAACATCCCACAAGAAAACACTCAAGCACCCAACATCCCACAAGAAAACACTCAAACACTCAACATCCCACAAGAAAACACTCAAACACTCAACATCCCACAAGAAAACACTCAACATGCCAAAAGAAAACACTCAAGCACTCAACATCCCACAAGAAAACACTCAAGCACCCAGCATCCCACAAGAAAACACTCAAGCACCCAACATCCCACAAGAAAACACTCAAGCACCCAACATCCCACAAGAAAACACTCAAGCACCCAACATCCCACAAGAAAACTCTCAAACACTCAACATCCCACAAGAAAACACTCAAACAGCCAACATCCCACAAGAAAACACTCAACATGCCAAAAGAAAACACTCAAGCACCCAACATCCCACAAGAAAACACTCAACATGCCAAAAGAAAACACTCAAGCACTCAACATCCCACAAGAAAACACTCAAGCACCCAGCATCCCACAAGAAAACACTCAAGCACCCAACATCCCACAAGAAAACACTCAAGCACCCAACATCCCACAAGAAAACACTCAAACACTCAACATCCCACAAGAAAACATTCAAAC